ATATCGAAAAAAAAAGGACGACGGATGAGCCGAAAATCGTGGGCAAAGCCCGATAAAGCCGTCGCGACCGAAACCCTAAAACCTCTCCAATGAGCTCATTCTTGTTTTTCGTCTCACACGATCTTTGACCATTGTGTTCACCGTTCACCGTCCCTTTCTGTAGAGGTTAGCCAAAGAAAAAATCTTAACCGCGAAGGAGAATCAGCAGAGGAGCTGTACCCAGAGACCCCCCATCGGTAGGTTCGATTTTTTGGCTTTTCTGGCCAACCAAAACTCTCTAACATGTTTCTTTGCAAGGATACGTATAAAACTGGCCAAAATCGGTCAGTACAAGGCAAACTGTCATCATGGGCGATGGAGCCGGCACCAGAGCATGGCCATGGCGCTGTGTTGGAAGCCTAAAATTGGCCGGAAAGGGTTTTCGACACCGATTTTGAATTTTTTTGGGTATTTTTAGGTACGTGACAAGTATTTTAATTTTCACAGGAAAAATTCAGAAAATCTAAGCCCTGTCAGGAGGCATAATGAGTAGTATGACTGTAACACCCAAGTATTTTAATCTTATTCTTATTATTATTATTTTTATTTTTCTTTTTTTGTAATGAATTTTTTAGATTTTTAGCTAATTTAATTTGATTTGATTTAATAAGAATAAAAATAATAATAATGATAAAATTGGGTTAAAATATTATTTGGATTTAATTGAAATTGATTTTGGGAACAAGGGGTGAAAATTTAGATTCTGGAGGTATTTTTGAAAAGAAAATCAAAAATCGGAGGTCAAAACGTAATTTAGAAAAGTTGTACCACGTCAGCACCACGTCAGCAGCCACGTCAGCGGCCCGGTCAGCAGCCCCGGCCAACCAGGATGCGCCGCGTGGCAAGGACACGCTGACCAGGGGACGGGCCACGGGGGCGATCCGTGTGCGCGCGATCGGACGGCCCAGATCCGTTCCCGCGCGCACTGACGGCTCAGATCACACGTGCGCACGGACGACCCAGAATCATGCACACGAACGACCCAGATTACATCGCGATGAACGGTCCAGATTTAATCTCAATTAAATCCCAATCGAACGACCCAAATTCAATCTTGATGGACTGTCACGATTAAAAGGCAAAGGGTATAAATACCCCCACCCACACCTGACCAAAGAAACCCTAGCCGCCAGTGCTCGCCGGAGAAGAAGAACCAGACGCTGGAGGAGCCAGCTGCCACCATCCGCCGCCGGACCGGGGAAGTTTTCGACCGCCGATCGAGGTAATTTTTCTCCCCCTTGCTAGTTTTTTGACGCTGAGTCCGCCTGTGACCAAACCAGAGCCAAACCACCGGTCAAACGGCCAGAAAACTCAGCCAAAACCCAGCAGCGCCGC